CTCCCGTTTTTTGCATACTGATAGGCACACTGAGAATAAGATTTCGGTCCACCTCATTAAACAACGTGTTAATTCTTTCCCGGTTCCACTATCTACCACTAAAATCACGCAGTGCAGCCACATTCATATCTCTAATTCCTTGTGGCTTGGCCGAAGTAATCCTCCCGGACCCCGGTCCCGGTAGCCATGCACCCGCCCAAACCTGGACTTCTATACCATTGCCCACTCTGCGCCATATGTTTTCTCTCAGAACAGTTTGAGTCTCAAAAATACTCCTCCAAATAAATGAAGGATTACTACCCACCTTGGCTTCCACAAAAGAAGAATTAGGGAAATATTTGGCCTTTAGGACCCGACTCATCATACTATGTTGCTCCATAATTAATCTCCACCCTTGTTTAGCCAGCATGGCTAAATTAAATTTTCTTATCTTTCTAAATCTCATTCCTCCTGCATCCTTGGGTTTACACAAAGCATTCCACTTTCTCCACCGCAAACCCTTCTGTTCAAAATTTGCTCCTCTCCACCTAAAGTCATTCATCAATTTTTCAATATCATCAAAAATATCTTTTGGCAATAAAAAAACATTCATCGCATAAGTAGGCATAGCCTGAATAACATTCCTTAATAGAACAGCTCGGCCTGCTCTAGAAAGGAATCTGTTGTTCCAACTTTTAATTCTACTAAAAACTTTTTCCCTCAGATATCCCAATATAACAGCTTTATTCTTACCCATCAGAAGCCCGAGGTAAAGTGTAAAAAAGTCTTAATTATTAAAAAGTGTAATTTTCACTAGTATAATTATTAAAAAGTGTAATTTTTAATATTAATTTACTCATTTTAGTAAAAAAGATGTTACTAGCAAAGTTAACATACATATATTTAAAATACAAAGTAAGAAATACCCTTTTGGTAAATACACACTCAATCAGTCACTTCAGCCAAAATATTATCAAACATTTTCACTTTATCAATTTCAGCAATTTCAGTCATTACAGCTATTTCAGCCATTGCAGCCACTACCAAACAAGCCCTTAGAGATTAACTTTTGGTATTTAAGACTTAGAGAAAAAGCAAACAATCAGAGGCTGCGTTTGGTACGTAACAATACCAAGTGTGCAGTTTCACGCACATAATATAGCTTCCACACCATTAAGCTAACTCATTACGTGGCTTTCACATAACGCGAGAAACTTTTGGTCAAAATCATAAAAATAGAAGGAACAGAGAAGGGAATTTTTTTCCAGAAAAGAAAAAAAAGGGCGCTTCAATTTTTGAACTAACATAAAAGGTGTATATGAATCGTGGAATGAATGTAGTAGACTAGTAGCTAACCCCTTGTCTCACTTTGAGTATGATAGTTTTAAACTGTAAGCAAGTTGAATTGATAAAACAAGTAAATATGTTAGGTTATAACTTATAACCCATGAAGAAATAGTGCAGCTGAAATACCTAATGAGGAAGTGTATGATATAAAACGTGTTATTAGCCGAACGACCTAATGTTTGGTTTGGTGTTAAGAAAAAGGAATTGAAACAAAATATATGAAGTATATTCCATCAATAAGTCAAATTTCTCACGATTTTATATGTATTTACTATCGGGGTTTTCCCGCAATCTAGCGCTGTCAATATATTCACACACCGACACCAAAGTTCTTCTTAATTAATATATTTACCCAGTGCATATATTTGTAGTCATGATCTAGTTAAATTCGAAAGTAAAATAATTTTTTAAATTTGACATTGCTCTAAAATACAAATACAATAAGTCAATATCATAAAGTGTAAGTTTTAAATATAAATATTATAAGGTAAAAGAGTATTAAAGTTATGAAGTTTGATATATTTTTTATGCAACAACTTTTATTTCAATCAACCATAAGAAAGAAAATTATGAATTTTAATACTCCGTATATATTTTTATAAAGAGAATTTTGATATTTTTATTTTGGTTGAGTCCGCAACTTTTTGTCATTTCCTTTCCTTTTTGCATGCAGCAATCAACTGTCGAATTAATACATTTTTTACGCTCACTTTGACACTCAGAAATACATTTTTTTACAGGAATTGAAAAATATTTGGGATAAATAGCTTAAAAGTGGTGTTTTCAACTATTGGATTGTGGAAAGCCCAAGTAGGATTGTAACCGAATACTTGACAATATTATTTGTATTCGTAAAATTATCGAATATTCGTATTGTATTCATTTTATATTCGAATCTTATTTTGTATTCGTATTCGATTCGTTTGGTATATATTCGAGTATATTCCAATCTTTTTTTAATCTTATTCAAATTCGAAAAACATTAAAATTAAATTATTAAAATAATTAAAATTAGAATTTATAGTTTGCCGGTTTTAACTCGTTTTCATAGTACATATATTTCATACCAAATAAAATATATATACAATTCAATTCTTCAAATTTAATATCAATATAAATAAACAACGGAGAATTATAACTTTAAGATAAGCTATTGTGACTTAGAGCCCGTTTGGTAACCATGTTTTTTGGCTTATCAGGCTTATCGGCCAATTTTTTCACCAAACACGTAAGTTTTGATTTCGCGCGCTGGATTGTGTAATAAGCAAAAAAAGTAAGGTTGAAGTTAATTTTCCGCCTGTATTGGTTGAAGTTACTGTAGATGACCATTTTAGCTATTTTTACATCTAACTTTTTCTTTATTTTATTAATAAAATATATTTTAAAAATAACTTTTTCTTATATCAGCAGAATCAGCCAATGCAGCCACTTTAGCCAGAACTTCATAAATTTCAGCAGAATCAGCCAAAACAGCCGATTTTCGTGCTACCAAACGGGCTCTTAATGAAGTAAGAACATTTAAATTAAAATATGAAAAAAAACGTACTAATTTTTGTACATAAATATAAGTATACTAATATAATTCAAATATATTTGAATATTGTTCGAATCGAATATCATAGTATTTGCATTCGTATTCGAAAAGTATTCAAATAAAAAAAACAAATTCGTATTTCTATTCTACTTACTCGCATTCGAATCGATGTTTTTCGAATTTGAATCATGAATCAAATCAAAACTATTCAATTCGTTTACAACCCTAAGCCCAAGTAGGCGAATCAATGGATTCATCATTCATAATTACCATCCGTATATCTATACTGAGAATACATCATGATGATAACATTGAAATCATCGAGACATCTAAGGGGTGTTTGGATCTACTTCTTAAAATTTTTTCTACCCCTTCAGAGATCAGAGGCAGATATTTAAGCGTTTGGGTGAAAATATAAAAAGACATCTAGGACTCCAAATTGCTCTTAGAAGCAATTTTTAGAAGTTGCAAGAACTAGCGTCTTCAAAAGTGATGCTAGTTCTACTTTAAAAAAAAGAAACAAAAGAAAAATCAATTCTAAACACCCTAACATTCTAACTCAAATTTCGATAAATACATTTTCCCAAGAGCTTTAAAACCTTTCTACTTTATTTGTTAGAATAAATTCTAAACACCCTAAGATTCTAACTCAAATTTCGATAAATACATTTTCCCAAGAGCTTTAAAACCTTTCTACTTTATTTGTTAGAATGAATTCCAAGTTTCACGAATTTTAGGTCAATTCCACATTTAGTCCACCTCTTTCACTTAGTTCATTTTTGATACTCCCTCCATCCCCGAAAGAAGTTCCTCATTTGACTTTCACACTTTTATGCAAGTAAACTTATCAGGGGGTAAATTTTACTGTTTTGACACTATTTGACACTGTTTTGCACTGTTTGACACTGTTTTGATGTAGATAACTTTCCATTTATGGAAATGGGAACTTAAATTAGGGACATCCAAATAAGGAAAGTGGAAACTTCTTTCGGGGACGGATGGAGTACATGATTATTGTGTTTTCGCTCATATATGATCCTTCCGGCAATGTTTTCGATGGTTAAGATTACCAGAAAAGGACCACAAAAGATTAAAAAACATTAATCAAGTACCAAAATGTACAAAGTGAAAGACGCAACTCTCGAATTAATTCTTATTTGTTATCTATCATTTCACCTTAGGGTATTATTTTGAGTGAATTCCCTAAATAGGACTAAAAAGTGGAAAAATTGCACAAATAGGACTACATTTTTTAAATTCCCTTAATAGGACTATTTATGTGTGTTTGGACAAATATACCCTTGTAACTTGTGAAATGTTTTAATTAATAATAAAATCATAAAAAAATTAATAAAAATCGAAAAAAATACTAAAAATCGTAAAAAAAATAATAGAAAATTAATTAAAATATTTTTTTAAAAAAATAAAAAAAATATTTTTTTTAAAAAAAATAAAAAATAAATAAAAAAAATCATAAAATTAAAAAAAAACACATTACCACCCCTGCACCCCCAACACCACCATCTCCCATCACCGGACAAAAATATGCCAACATTTTAAATAATGCCATAATGATGGCATAATCAATGAAAATGTTGGCATATTGAAGAGTAATTATGCCATCTTTTTGGCATTTTCAGAAAAATATGGCATTTTTTTACCAAAAGTGGAAGAAATTTCACCAATCGGAGGTGGTGGTGCTGGGAGGTGGCAGGAGGCGGTGAGAAAGGTATCCATAATTTTTTTCATTTTTTATGGGTTTTTACTATTTTTTATTATTTTTTTAAAAAAATTAAAAAAAATAAAAAATTAAATTTTTTATTTTATAAATGTTTTATAATTTTTTTTAGTTTTTTTACGTTTTTTAAATATTTGTTTATGTTTTTTGTGATTTTATTATGAATTAAAGCATTTCATTATGAATTAATACTCTTAGGGGTATTTAGGGTAGAAAATTAATGTTTAGTCCTATTTAGGGAATTTTAAAAATAGTAGTCCTATTTGTGCTTTTTAGGAACTTTTTAGTCCTATTTAGGACAATTTCCGTATTATTTTTTAAAGAAATTCTTAGCCGCCTTTTAGGGGTTGCAAGCGTAAAGAACATTTATTTTCAGGAAAAAAAACATGTCAAATGCAAATGTATCTTATAATTTTATTAAATTTTAATAAGTGGAGGACTTTATTGTTCCTTGAAGTGAACATCTAAAATCCAGTAGTATCTCCGCCTTTTTCTCTAAACAAAAGCCCCAAAAGCTACTATTGAAGGGAGCAAAGATCACAGTTCTCACATATAATAACAAGGTGAAGGTACAAATGGTGGCAATGCATATGCTTTCAAAGATAATGTTATTAATACATTAAGTCTCAGGGTTAAAGTTTCAGAAACAGAGAGCTCAAATAGGACAATTGTTCTGGGTAGAAAACTAATGGAAATAGGTTTCAGTCCATTCTTCCCTTCAAAATACTCTCTGTCACTTCAGTTGGTGTGCTGCAAAGAGGATATAAATGCAGTTCAGAACAGTATAGCATAAGCGAGATTGCCTAGACAAAGTGACTGAAAACTTACACAAGATAAACATGTCCGCCCCAACCACTCAAACAGTCTCTGTCCACTGATGCTATGAGTGCCTGAGAGATTGTCTCAAATAATTCCTCCGCTTCCTAAATAAAAGATGACAATAAAAAACTCATGAATCGGATTCCAATGTAAGAAATTTAGATGATATTAGCTACTCCCTCTGATAGCAATCAGCTTGCAAGGAAAGAAAAAAATAGGAAACTAATTAGAAGCCTAGCACAGTGACTGGTTAGCGATTGAATTATAATCAGCTCTGTTTGAGAGCACCTAGGGATGAAAGCTCTTCTACTTTTTTTTATTGTCTTTCCATTTAAAATTTTCACTTTATTTCTAGAGCCTCTTTACCCTCCATCATCATCAGTCCCAAATAATGAAATAAATAATGTCTCAATAACTCTTTTTCCCCAAAAAATGGCCTTATGTCTTGAAGCGAAACTAATATTTCATGTAATTTCCATACAGAAGTAGTTACAAAAAGGTCAAATTAATATGGTTAGTTAAACAAGAAATTGAGATTTCAAAAATATAGATAGGATACCATGACTAGCTTGTTGTCTAATTACATCTATAAAGGATGGGGTTAGAATTAATAAAGGAAATGTGTTCAGAACTAGTTGATTATATTTTCCTAAGACAAATTGAAGGTCTGCAGCTGTTGTCATGAGACAATCAATGACAGAATCACAGAAATGGTCTTCAATACACGGAAGTAAGAAAGAATATCAAATTTTTATTGGATTATCATGTAAAATGACACACAGGGCAGTCACAAACCATATCAGGCTTGAACATGGCCTCACATGCTCCGTATAGTGATTCTGAGGCAGTCCCAGCAACAACAAAGTCTTTGGCAAGCTCCCTGCATTGCAATGCACATAGCTTGTTGTCTAATTACATCTATAATTGCATGCATAACAGACACAAGAACAGTCTGTAAAAGCTCGCTTATTGTTAGGCAGCTTTGAGTTGAAGGATTTCAAAGCTAGTATAGGGTATCAAGATATTATAGGAAAGACCTCTTAGACATAACAATATAAAATCTCAGGCATATATGCACGCTATTGAAAACAATTTAGAATTGCAATTTCACATAGGCATATCCATCAAATCATTTATCATTATTACTATAGCGTAACATGTGACTTGCAAAAAAAAATCTCTACTCATTGCCATCCAGAATACCTCACTTAGTTCCCTTTAGGTGCACTTAGATCCTCAATCCAACGAATTATAACAAAAAAAATATGATTTTACCCTAGAAAAATGTCAAAGTTAAACAAGACCTTGGCAATAGTTCTAGGAGCTAATCCCTTGCCCCTGCAAACATACTGTTTAGCACAACAGACACATAGCAAGACATAAAGATGCAGTGTGAAAGAAGAGAGAATGAGGACTAAAAATAAATGAACGAGTAGAGAAGATAGGATTTTATTGAAGCATTGTGCATAAAACTTATAATACAGAGGACTAACTAGATTAGAGAGAGAGAGAATCAAAACGTACTTTGCACCGATTGAATCCATTGTGCAAATGAAAGGCTTGTCATCGTCTCCTAATCCAGCAATTACAGGTTGGCAGAAATACGGACCAAACCTAAATCAGCGCAATGATTTAAATGGTTTGCTTTCATACATTAGCAATCATTATAGACAACAGCCAATAAAAGAAACCACAAAAAAAATAAAAAACTAAGTAATGTGTAGGCTTCACCTTAATAGTTCTGACAGTTTATAACACTGAACCACTCATATTAGTTTCACTAAAAATTACTTAGCAGTACTTCCAAAACACCATTACGCTTATGAGAACCACTGGTGTATGTTGATTGTTGAAATCAACACTAGGGCATCAGCAATTTAAAAAGGTAGGTTAAGAATTATAAAGTAGGTTAAGAAGGTAAAAACCAGTGAAATATATTATATAAAAGGCACCAACACACCATAGTTGTCATGGCATCATCTAAGTGATGGTATTCATAGAGACGTCCAGGGTTAATTTTTCGCCAAACCCATTTTACCTGGGCAACCCCACCCCCCAAGTTTGCACTTTCATTCTTACTTCTCATCTTTCTTTCTTCACAGTTCTTCATTTTCATTTCATTATTTATCTCTGTAGTTCAATTTTTTCTTGGTGATTTTTTATTCTTTAGATATCAATCACATCACTGCATTTTGATAAAGTTTTGTAGTTTAACTCATTAGAAATAGATATTAGACTCTTGTTTTGAGTTAATATGATGATGAAGTAATAATTCATGTACTCCATTTTAAATTTATAAAATTTTATATTCAAATATTGCAAGTCACTTAATTTTTGACTGGGTGGTCATCAGTCATCTAGGGGTCTAAGTGACAAGGCAGTTCGCTGGCGCTATGCCTCACATAACAGTCATGATAACCTTGCAAGGTTCACATATTATATCACTTTGATGGTGAAATGGGTAGTATTCGTGTATTTCTATACTGGAGAAAGGTGGTAGGTGATACTGCTTCTGCCCCTAGAAAAAAAACACTTTTTGACCGGGCACAAAATTTAGAAAATGAAACTTCATTGCTGAGAGGGAAAAATAATATGAACCACACAATGTTATCTAATAAGAAAAGGAGAGGTAGTTTTGGGGCAAGTGAAACAAGAAACTAGAAATATTATTGACGAGCATAGAAGTAGTATTATATACGACATGCACTTTTAATGAGGGTAAGTCTTGAGACCAAAAGCACATAAAAAAGTAGCAGTAACAAAGTTTCAATACAATGTCACCTTATAAGACTCTAACCTAATGTCATAAACACATAAAGTCTGCATACATTAAGCATACAAGTAGTACAACTCTAATATCAGCACAGTTAAATACCTTTTCTCATATAGAATAGCAGATACCAGGCTGGCAAAAGTTTCAGGCTTCATGTTTCTTTCTTCTCTAAGCTCATATAACTTGTGCCGGAACACGAGCCGTTGATACCTAAACAGAAGGTCATCATTTATCTATAATATATAATGAGTTCTAGTAAAAACAAATGATCAACATGATGTAGATTTGAATTCCAGTGCTAATTTTAACAGTTCAAGAATGATCGCTTCGCATATTGGGCACTCTACTTAGCCCTTGATGTATCATGTCACGAATCAGGATAACCAGTAGTCTATACAAATCAAAATATAAAAGTAACTAATCTGGTGTTTGGACACTTTCATAGTTTCACTTTAGTACAGAGTACAGACTCATATTTATCCTTTCCTACAAAACAGTACGGAGTAGAACTTTAAGAGCCCATTGTAAACCCAGTTTTCAGCATTTGATCCGCCAGAAATATTTTTTCTAGACATGGACATTAAAATAAAATGGCATTCCTAACTTGATATTTAAAATTTCTTTCTTTTTAACAATTACATGAATATATTTTAAATTCTTTTTTAGTTGATAGTTTGATACAGTTCATTAAGCCAAATCAGCCATTTTACCAACTTCATCAGACTCCTATATAGGCCTTGCCAAACTGGTTCTCAGGGGGGGAAAACTCCCTTTCAATTGTTTCCGAATTTTCAATAGTTGATATCTTAAAAGCTAATCAGCCCAATTTTGGGAACTACAAAAGAATCGGTATTTGCACGTACAAGGTTTGGGCATCGGAGGCAAGGCCAGAGAGGCCAATGAAGAGCTTGTCGTGAATTTTATAAATCCTCTCGAAATCAGTGGCAATGGTCTGCAGCTGAATACCGAGCCGCCGATCACTTGCGATGGCGAAGCAGTTCTTCCCCACCATCGCCACTAGGGCACTTCCATTGTACTCGAAGATCTGTTCAGCAATTCATACACATAAATACACGTTTCATAATTTGTGCAAACATATTGGCAGAAGGTGAAAATAGTATACTTACCGACATACTGACTGATGGCCGGACGGAATCTGAAGATCGGTGAAAATTCGAGCTGAAGAATTGTGTTTAAGGGCTCTTGAAAAGCATTATCTTGGGGGGCACTCCACGGTCAAGTTGTATTATCACTGAGCTTTTTTCTTTTGGGCTGCCTGGCCGTCGTCTATATGGGCTTATTTTTATTATTGTGTAGAAGCCTACTAGGATGTTTTTACTTGGACTGTAATTTGCTGGTCTGGTCTGGTCTGGTCTGAACTGGTCTGGTCTGGTCTGGTAAGGTCTGGTTTCTTTGTATTTTTATAACTATCCAAGTCTGGTCTGGTCTGGTCTGGACTGGTCTGGTCTGGTCTGGTCTGGTCTGGGACAAATTACAGTCCAAGTAAAAACATCCTAACTACACACGTATTTACTAAACACACCCCTCAATGGCTCAATACATCATCTTAGTTCCTAATATATCCTTCTGACAATACCGGCGTGCACTTAGCTTCCGAGGATACTGCGGGCATGGAACGACCAGGAACAACAGTTTTTGTAGACGACAACACAGCTTCTGACTAGCGACCTGCCGACCTCCGATGGTGACGACGACAGTCCCAAGAATTAAACTATCAAGAATCTGATAGGGGTTTTCCAGGAACAGATCAGGGGGTGTTTGGACTCCTTTAGGGAGCAAAAGTAGAAGCTGGAGTGTCTGGGTGAAAGTGCTGAAGTGATTCTGGTGCTCTAATTTACTCCTAGAATCAGTTTTTTAGAAGCAGAGGGTGATCGGCTTCTGAAAACTGATTCTGATTCTGCTTCTACTTTAAAAAAGAAGCAGAATCAGAATCAGTTCCAAACACCCCCTCAATAGATCAACATGTATGCTTAATTTTATCTTCTCTGACATGTTGTATTCCTTTGTTTTTCTTCTGTCATATTGCGAGGGCGAACTGTTAGTCATGCAAAGAGTACTATGACCACCGAATCTTATGGAAAACTTGTCTCACTTACAAATGGTGTGCAACATTAGATTGGAGACTCAGGTAATTACTTTTAAAACTTTCAGCGTAACCAGGCAATCCATGGATGTTGTTGAAAAGTATGGCTTGATCAAACTTGGATGGGGTGCTACTGCAAAAATCTACCGTACAAGAATATTTACTGGGGCACATATAGGTCGCCGCCATTACTCTTAAAGATCGCACTTGGGATCGTTATTACTAGCCATTGCAGCAAGAAGAAGAAACTATTTTGCCGTTTAAAGTTTGGGAGAATTACCATTGTTATTGCTATCACAAACCGGTGTTGCTAATTCGCTAGTTTGCGGATTTTTCTTATCTCGTCTGCATGTTCGTCAAGAAGAAGCCGATTTGGTCGTCGATATCGTTATGCTGCCGCCGGTTCAATTACTGGTTTCGGCGACGATTGGGACTGCCGTCGTCGATAGCAGGACAAGTTGAGGTGTTGCTTTCTACTTGAACTTAGTTGTTATTTAATTTGTTCCATGCCCGCCACGGGTATCGTCTAATATTGTGCTACTATTGTTAGAAGGGTATATTAGGAAATAGGAATTACGATATATGCGGGGCTGTGTTTAGTAAATACGTGTGTATTTAGAATTTCCCAACCAATTATTGTTGTGGAAATTATCCATTTGAACAACTTTTATATGTTCCATTTTAAAGCACAAATAGAATAATTGACATTTAGGCTATGTTTGACACGACGAGCTGGAACTGAAGACTAATGTCTGAATTATAGACTATTGTTTGAACCGGAAACTATTGTCTGGAACTACAATATGAAGTGCTGGATATGAATCACTAGCTGAATGGAGTACACTTGTTTGGAAAAAAGAGCTGAAAACATATCGAGATAATATGAAGTTACATTAAAGGACATATCATTTATTAAAAGAATAAAAAATTGATAACCATCATTTTTTTTATTTTCAACCCCTTGATATATGTGCGTGTGTGGCCGTGTGCGACATGTTTTTAAATTTATACATGTATATATAAGGTTTGTTCATGAATTTCTAAACAAAATATTCCGTATACTAACTATATTGAAAACAAAGTTCAAGCATGTCTGCCTTTTTAAATTTATTAAATGCCAGCCATGTTGTCGTACTTAGAACTCCATCCATAGTTACGCAGGTGACATTCGAGGTAATTTTTTCCATGTAGCACAAAAGAAAGCAGATAGTGCAAATTAAATGGAGTATAATAGAGAAAGTCACTTGTGATTGGAGAGCAGAAATGATTTGTATCAGACAAGAGTGGTGGAGGAAGTCAAAATATATACCCGGAGAGCTCTGTGCCTTTGCATGATCGGTTGACGAATAAACGGCTTTGCGTGAGATTCAATGGGGATAAGGTGGGAAACGAAAATCTGGAAAGTCGAGGCTGAATATAAATGATTAAGCCCATATATTTCAGATTAAGCCCACTTTAGCCTATCACACAAACACTTCAACTGAATTAAAAATGATTGAACTTTAATTATTTCAGCCCTTTTTGAGATTTTGCGGCTCGCCAAACACAACCTTAGTCACAAAACAAATGAAATGTTAATTAAGGTCATGGACTTTAAAATTACCCAATCAACCTTATCAAATTGCCAAATGCTCAAATCGGTTGTTATTAGATAGTATATTTCTTTGAAAAAGTCACTCTATTGTAATATGCCACCTGCAATTCTCTATCACCATATCTTCTTGCCCATTTTCTACTATGAAGCATTTTCTATTTAATAAAGTTGTACATGTGTAATTGTTGGGGCCTCTCTTTAATTGAGATTCAACCCAATCCTGAAGTCTCGTGGAGATATTTAGGATTCTCTAAACATTGTAAAGGGGCATTGAATGTTCTAAAATATTTTTGAAATTTCTATATAAGTGAAGATTATTCTAAAAGTGTGTGGAAGAGTTTGAAACATTCTAAATCATTATAAAGTTCCCTAGAGAAGTGTGGATTTCTCTAGAGGAACGAGTAATTCTCTAGAGCCACGTGAAAGCCTCTAGAATATTCCGAATAAATTTGGGATCCTCTCGTTCTTTCGGGAGTTCATATAAGCTTGTAGGTATTTTTTTAGAACACTAGAAGCTTAGAACAAGTAAAAAAGTTCTAGAGACACTAGTCTGTTGCACTAGAGAATTGGTATAAATATGTGTTAGAGTGCTTATTCAAAAGCAACCTTAAAGAGTAAGTTTCTCATGAGATAAGAGAATCAATGATGTATCATGATTAGTACGAGTGAAAGTTTTATTGAAAGTGAAAGGAAAAAGTTCAAGACTTCCCATAAAAGTATTAAGTGAAGTAAACTAAAGTAGTCTCATATACAAAACGCTAATAAGTGTTTTCCCTTAAAAAATCACTAGTGCAAAAACTACATTTTATGACTAGCATTTCGTGTGGGGTTATGTGGAACCGTAATAGTTTCTAGGCGCGGAGCCAAAAGCGTAATTTTTGAAAGTTTATGGTGCATTGCTGCGATTAATAAAGGTGAATTTACATTCATTCTGTAACGGTTCATAAAAAAACCGATGTAGAATATGAAACGGGGTGATATTCATAATAATTGAAAACTTAAAGTGCGAAGCGGGGTTCTTTTTATAATATTGTAAACTCTGTTTCAATGTCAGTTAGAGATCAGCCCTTATTAAAAATCCAATAACTGTAATTATAACCCTCCCACGTCTTTCTAGATCTAGGCCTCTATACGAGAGAACAACGAAGATTGCCTCACTGCCTCTGCGGCTAGCTGACTTCCCGCTGGTCCTCCGCACCGTCGAACGCCGAATGGCCCTCTCTCTTCACCGACGAACGTTGCTATTTCACCAGTATACATCACCTCTCTCCTCACTGGCGTACGCAATTTCACCAGCCCCTCTCCACGGCCGAACGCAGCTTCGCCAGTCTCTCTCCACGGCTGAACTCTGCATCGCCGGTCTCTCCTCACCGCTAAACGCTGGCTCCACAATAGCAGCAGCAGGCTCTCTCCTCACCGCTGAACACCACTTCCACATCACTACCTGACGGCTCTCTAAATCTACCGCACCATACCTTCTACTCTTTCTAGGTGAACAAGCACTATTTTGGTACACACTAATTATGTGATTATTTGTTATACATTATTGGGTTTTAGATACATATTTATATGCAGTTTATTTGATTCTTGTACCTTTGATGTTTAGTCTGGTATTAAATGAGATACTTTATCTAAAAATTGAATTTGTAGTTTTCAATTTAGAATGCTCATCATCTGTTTGTTGAATTTCCTGAATGCTACTCGGAATAAGTTAATTTGTAACATAGATACACACTGACTTCTTCATCTAATTTATTTATTTCTGCCTGCATCTTCGTGGGGTTTTCACACTGTTTTAAAGAATTTCTGGCAACCATAATCTCCTGGTATGGATTACTGCTGCTAACCATGTCAGGGTCCTCATTTTCTTTTGGTTTCTTGGAGGCTGCACATAATTAGTATATTAGTAGTAATATTGAAGGGAAAATTAATTTAAACACCCAAACTTCAGAAAATTAATTGAGTAACTCTAACTTATGTATGTCAAATATCCTCACTATATATTAAAAGTGATCTTAGCTTTGGGGTGAAATAGATGTTAGAGATGTGCAAATTAACCATGAATGCATTTTTTTCTTTCAAAGCATAAGTTTCTCGGGCTAACTGCACACTATAAGTCCAAAGATTTGATAGTGAGCACTTAACACCCTATACTTACATTGGTGAAGTAATAAAGAATATGTGTTCATGGAATTCATATGTAATATAAAATTTTATGAATGTTTGGCTAGTAGAGACCTGTCCTCAGTTTCATGTTCAACCAGAACTGGAACCGGCAGTTTTTTTAACCTGAACAGAAACCAAGGGACATTTTGAAAATAGTAAATAATATGCAGTTGTTTTTAAGTATAACTTCTTGCACAATACTAGTTTTAATACCTTTTTATTACAAATTATAGTTGTATCTGTTTATTTATTCATTTATTGATTTGTTTATTTATTTAGGTACTTATATATATTTATAATGTCAATACTAGTTATAGATGAAAACAGTAACAGAAAGAAAAAGCGGATCAAGCAAAAATAATAGAAAGAAAAAGGGTAGAAATCCCACAAGGATGAAGGCTTTGATTCGTAATTGTGAGATAAATAATTCACATGATCTATTTTACATAACTGTTTTCTATTTCATTTTGCCGCTATCAATTTGGGAAGCCATTGAGGAGCGAGTTAAAAACCAGATTGGGGAGACCATCCATGTAACCATTTTCATGTTCGGTTTTCTAGGGAACAACTTTAGTTTTGTTTAATTCATACTTGAGTGTGGGCGTTGGGGCTTTCTTTAAAGTTTATCACACATATTTTCATCCTCTGTCACAATCTCTCTGTTTTATGCTATTTTTATGTTCTATTTTCTGATATTATCACACATATATTCCAAATCAGTAAAACAAGTATATGGCATGTTCTTCTGGCCTTCGAATATGACAACATGTTAATACTGTATACATTTATTATGATTAAAGTTACAGGCATTTGCATGGGATGTGTGTTCGAAAGAGTAGTACACATCTGTACTATTTTCTACTCAACTGACTGAGTGAAGGAAACAAAGAGTCTTACTCACTCCATACTACTATCAGTAAGATATTTTATTTTATTATTTACTTTTCATTTTAAGTGTGAATGATTTTAAGTGTGAATGAATATGGGAGTAAATGAATATGACTTTTTTGTTATCCAGGTGCACTCCTACCATGAGCTATGTGCTTTAGATCTTTTGGGGTTGTGTTTGACTTGGTAGTTGGGACCTCTTTTTTAATAATTAGCTTCTTTTTCCTCTGTATGTGCTTACCCTAGCACTTTTGGGTTAAAGATGATTAATTTGAAATCAAATATTGCTTTTTCAGACCTAATAGAAGTTGTTACATATGTTCATTGTTGTAGCCATTGACAATTGTTTGTGTTGTGCCGGAGAAAAAACTTAATTGTGTTCTTGTGCTCTTTGCAGAACAAACCAAAGGCAAACATTACGAGTAATCTAGATTTGTAAGACATAATTTTAGTAATATTAAATTGGTGAATTTATGTAATGTTTCCATAATGTATAGCATGACTAATTTTTGTTTTCATTAGGGCGATGCAAGCACATTAAATGACAAAAAGTAAAAGTAATTCCAAGTCAAAATGGGTTAAGCCAATGGTAAGTGCTGTTTATGTTTCACTTCAAGTACTATAAGATGTTTATAGTTTATATGTTTAAGTTATTATAGATAGCGCAAAAAAAATTATTATAGATAGTGAAAAATTTACATTTCAGCTTCGACTTTGCTGATTTCATTAGTCAACTGCGTTCATTCAAACTGCAGTTTATTAATTCAGTTTGCAGCTCATAGTTTGATTATATTGTGGTATTTGAAGGGATAAAATCAATTATACTATGTCTTATACAAAAAAATACATTTCAGCTTCCAGTTTGATGTTTCATTATATTTTTGTGTTTATTTCTTTTACTTCATTTTTTACTTATTTGTTTATTGTTCGTATTCATCTTGTAGGCATTCAACGTGCAAGACTCAAGAGTGTTGGACATTGATTTTCTGTGAAGCAACTACCATATACGGAGTAGTATTTATTTAGTAGAAAATATTCTTAGTATATCTGAAATTGATATGGAATTTTGTTTCCAACTTTTTTGAATTTTGATGGTGTAAAATAATAGTGTTTATAATGTTCAAATTTCACTAGTATGATAATGCTAAATTGAAATTATATATGGTTTTTGTATACGATGATTGTTTGTGAATAGCATTAGATAATCGATTTGTGAAAACTGCATCATAAATATTTATATAGCAGAGTTACTAACATTGAACAAGACTGAAATAATAGCAGGGAGAAAATTACATTTGATAACGATTTATATTGAACTGACATTAAAAGTTTTCAATAACGGATACTTTCAGGAACCCACATGGAATGTCCTGTACTAAAAATAACGTATGTGAAGCACATTTAATAACGGTTAGTGAACAACCGATGTAAAAAGTATTCCATAACGGTTGGAGTAAACGACATAGAAAGCGGCCGATTTTCTATAACTGCTGAAACAATGTCGGTTCCCGAACCGACATAGAATGTCACTTTTAACCGTTATTAAATGTGTTTTTTCCACTAGTGAATATTCACTCCGTCACATTTTACATGTCTTACTTTCCTTTTTGAGTTGTCCCAAAATAAGTGTCAACTTTCCCTTTTCCGAAATAAATATGTGGTTCACAACATTTCACTTTGTTATACTCAAATCTCAACCACAACTTTTACCTTTTTAACCACTTTATTAAAAATTGTGTCAAAATCAAAGTAGACACATAAAATGGGACGGAGGTAGTACTAAATAACCTTTACTTTGCTTACTTTTATATTCTCTTTCACACTTTTATAGTCTTTCTTACTTTTTCTGCACTATTCATTATTCTGTTACTTTTATCCTTAAATAGTGTGCAAAGTTTATTATAACAATTTTTTGATTTTGTTTTTTAATCTATGACCTGAAAGATAGATGAACTATCAAAGCGGGACCTGAAGGATCGAATGTATCAATATAGGCCCTCAAATGATTTGAATACTATCAATTTAGTATATAAGTTTTCATGAATTTTATTATTATTTTTAATTTTAATTTTTTTAAATATTATTGAATTTTGTTAAACTAATAAACATTTGTGATTAAAAATTTATAAAACATTAGCAATAAAATAAATTACTTAAAATTAAATAAACAAATACATATGAAATTTTAGTTTTCAATCATTCAAGCCATATACTGACACATTTCATCTTCCAAGTTCTCGATTGATAATTCACCTATATTTCAGGTATTGGATTGATAATTCTTTTTAAAACTGTGCAGGAGTATAATTTAAGATGATTTCACTTAGACTTATTTCATTCTCAGACCAGAACAAACCAGACTTCGAGAATTGCAAATTATAGAAAGACCAGACATCAATCATAATAGATGAGACCAGACTATAAAATACGAGTCTAAATAGAAAGATCATCCATGACTCCAATTTAGGAATATGGTGGGTCCAAACGCCAGTAAAAATGGTGGGAAAATTAGGCGGCGGCCCGTTTGGCCGCCATGTGACACTTGCGCTTAGCAGCTATCGTTAAAATGAAAATAGACAAACAACACAAAACAATACAGAACCCACCAAGTAGTCACCAATCGCTCCTCCCGAACCACGAATCACTCCCAATCCCACACAAAAGTGTCTTTCTTTGGCTGTGAAAGTGAAAGCCAGTCCAATTGGTACGAGGTGATGTCTTTTTTATTTTAAGGTAATTCATAAAATCTAACTCTGTGTTCTTGGAATTTTCCAGACTTTGATCTCAAGACATGAGCAAAGAGAAGTTGCTGGAGGTTCTCGATTTCTTCATTTGGAGTGTGGAGGTATTTCTGGGTTTTGAACTTCTAGCATATCTCGTTTTCTGTTGCCGTTATTGGATCGTTGTCTTATTAAGATCATTTTCCTCTCACTTGTTTCTCCAATTTTAATTGTGTGAATTGTGTTTGTTGAGGTCTATTCCCGAAGATCCGAAAGCCCAACACAAGCCTTGGATATTGTAGGGATATTGGGTAGGGTTGAAATGTGTAAAAAATATAAAATAGTGAGATAATATTCAACTCAAGAACTTACTTATATTCTGTAATTAAGCAATTACACTGAAACTACCCGAACGGTAGATGAATATGAGATTACAAGGATGGGAGATGTAAATCTATTGCTAAGCTCTGAGTATTAAAATGCTAACCCTTTACAATGATCTAAACATGGATATTTATACTAAGATGGGGATGGGTAAGGTGGACACGTGGTCGAATCTGGTAGGCTATCACCTCTGCCATGTAAGCACTCATGCCCCCACTTGCAGCTGTCATGATCCAGCATTAAATGCGGCCTCCACTTGCTGACTGACCGTTCGGGCAAGGTGTTCGGTGTGTGGGACCCCGCCATAGGTGATAATTTCTACCTGAAGTATCCCGAACGCCGATCGATATTTGGGCCTTGATACCTTGGCATAATCGTTACCCAGAATGTTCCAAGTATAAGCTTTATCCCGAATGCCGTTCGGGAGTTCTTTGGGCTTGCAGCTTCTTCCCGGATTTGGGCCTAGGGATATCGGGCCTGGACCCAATATCCCAACATTAGTCCCCCACTTCCTATGTCTCGAACGGTAGTGAGTGCATGAGGAAGTAGAAGATAATTGCCCGAATGCCGTTCAGGTGAGAATCGAATGGCATTCCGCCGGTTCCCTAGGCATATTTTGACGGTTATTTGCAACTGCCGTTTCGCTTCTCCGATAAACGTCATGATTACTTGAGAAGGATTCTCTGTGCGACACGTGTCTCTGTCATCATTACTGGATACGTGTCTTTCTCTGGTTGGTTGTTGATTCGGCGTGACAGAGTATAAGTAGGCTCTTTTGGTTTTGATTCTGGGTTTTGAAATTTGATATCTCCGGCTTAGTACTCTGCCTTCTCTCTAGAGCTTCTTCCGCTGCTTCTGTCCAGGTATCCCTCGAACTCCCTTCTACTGTTTAGTTCCCTCGTTCGGTGAGAATGGCACCCCTTCGTTCATCTGAACTCTCTACTTCCGGCACTGCAATCCCAGAGGAAAACCCCAACGATGTGCTGCAAGTTGTCCCTATTCCGGCGGAAGTTAACGGTGATGACTCCTCTTCCTCCTCCGACGTTTACCCTGATGGCACCAAATCGGGGGATGAATTGGAAGTTATGAAAGCCGGTCCTCCAAGCGGCGTTCCCTGTCATAAGCTTGACCTAGCCCTGATTAGGCTTAGGCGCCAAAAGCTCACGGCCCAGAATCGGGCCCAAATCCAGATGTTACTTCCTGATTCGGTGAACTTCCGCCTCCAATCGGGCCTCCACCCAATGCGCCACTTCCCAGGGATGGTCGTGGTCCATTTTGATTCCCTTAAGGCTGGCCTTAGGTTCCCCCTTCACCCCTTCTTCGTTTCCCTCTTAAATTATTACAATATAGTGCCAGCCCAAATAATGCCGAACTCCTACCGGGCAATGGCTGGTTTTATTTGTCGTTGCGTGGAAGCTAAGGTGACCCCTTCCTTAGATCTGTTTCATTACTTTTTCTCGGTCATCCCGCAACAAGCCCAGGGTTATCTTGTCGCGAGTTCCCGATCAGGTCATATTTTGTTCTCCAAGGCTCCCTCCTCCATCAAGGAATGGAAAGATCGGTTCTTTTTTGTATCTGTCCCAAACGGCCTAATCCCAAGAAAGTGGAATGCCTTTCCGCCAAAGTCCCCCGAACCGTTCATCTCTGAAGACCTTAGCCAGGATATCATTGCTGTGGAGGCGGGTGGTTGCTTCCAGATTATGCCATATCTGACTCCCGAACGGCTTATTAAAGCCGGGATAGGTACTGCCCGTATTCCTGGATTTCTTGACTGAAAACCAAGTACCATGGTCCGGGCGGTCCTTCCCGTGTGAGAAACAATTTTGTTTATCCATGTGCGAACCGCTCGGTACTAATTTTGCGCTTTGTTTGTTTTGCCAGCTCCTCAGCAAGGCGAATCAGAGTCCGAAGGAGATAACCCCGAACAACCGGCCATGGATGATAGCAGGTTATTCACTGTGGGATTTGATGATGAGCCACCAACTTCTCCTCTCAAGCAGCAGAGGAAGACAAAGAGGAAAAGGTTGAGGAAGGCCGATCAGGGGACATCCTCCCAATCCGCCCCCATCGTTCCCGAGCAGCCTGAACCTGTTCGGGATGTAGAATCTGTGCAGCAGGTTGCCCCTGATCAGCAAACTCATGCTGACACGCTGATGGATCAGCTTTTTTCTGACCAGCAGTCCCACCATTTCTCTGCTGAGGAGGTGGCTGCCCATCAGGCTGACTTGGCTAGTTAGTTCGAGCGGATCTCCCTCTATGATCCTGCTCATGAGATGTTGGAGCGGGGTGGCTGTCCGGCGAGCCAAATCTGGTCCACATCGGGATTCCTTAATGGCCACAATCTTCCCCCGATACCGGTGGAGGAGGCCGAGGAGTGTATTGCTCTGACTGTCCTGAAGGTAGTTCCTTATCTTGTGTTCATAATTTACTTTTCCCCTTTTCTCCGTTCAATAGCTTACCATGCACTCATTTCTTACTTTCTGATCATTAGGCGGGGATATACAGCCTGAAACTCAGAGAGGCCAGGCAGGCTAAAGAACAGGGCCTGCTGATGGCCAAGGAAACAGCTGAGCAGGCCGTGGAGGCCGAACGGCGAGCATTCGCCGAGGAGCAGAAGAGGCTGGAAGCTGAGGCCGGGGAGCTTCGTGTCAGGGTGGGCTCTCTCCAAGCCAAAATCGCGGCAGCTGAGGCCGCTCAGGTCAAGTTTTCTGAAGCTCCTCCTCAGATCCCGGACGGCCCGGCTGAAATGTTAGTTGATCTATCTGCCGTTCGGGATCAGTTCAAAGCTTCCGAGGAGTTTCTGGCCCTCAAGGAAGAATACGCCACCGAACAGCTCCCTGCTGTCTTCGGGAGGCACCTGGAGAAACTGGCCGGAGAAGAGCGCCAGAAGGAGGGGATCAGGGTGCTTGATCAGCATTCTGTCACCAAGGAGTGGGCTGATAACTTCGCCCGCGGGGTCTACAGCTCAGGTTGCCAACATATGCTTCAGCCTCTCCTCCCCCTCATAGAAAAACACATGGGCCGAGCGGTGCAACCCTCTGACTTTCCCG